GGTGTATGATAAGTGATGTATGATGAGTGGTGTATGATGAGTGGTGTCTGATGAGTGGTGTATGATGAGTGGTGTATGATGAGTGGTGTATGATGAGTGGTGTATGATGAGTGGTGATTGATGAGTGGTGTATGATGAGTGGTGTATGATAAGTGGTGTATGATGAGTGGTGTATGATAAGTGATGTATGATGAGTGGTGTATGATGAGTGGTGTATGATGAGTGGTGTTTGATGAGTGGTGTATGATGAGTGGTGTATGATAAGTGGTGTATGATGAGTGGTGTATGATGAGTGGTGTATGATGAGTGATGTAAATGTTCATAACACGGAAGTTTATCTAAACTTCCTTTGATTAAACTTTCAATTTCAACATAGCTTTCACATTTGTGTTGGGGATCTGAAGTAGCAAATTCCAGAGTATTTATATTGTATAGACACCTTTTGCTCGGCTGCCTTTGCTTGTTGCTTCTTGATGGCGCTGATGGTCGTGCGTCGCCGAGGCTTATCCACCTTGAACATTGCTGAGGCGTTGAGAGAAAGCGCCGGGATGCATCTCGTGCCGCCGGCCAATGTGGAGCCACCCTTGTCTGGGTGGGCCAAGATGGCTGAGATGCGCCCTGGGCAGCAACGAAGAGTTATCTTCTAGTCCAAGAAACACCCAGAACAGCTATATAAAACTTTCCAAAGGGTAGGTAGATGTCTAGTAGATGGGTGTGGGGCCCAGAATAGGGAGACCTCCCACTGCGACCCTGGAAGGTTCGGGAACGACCGACCAGTCTATCATCGTCTACCCATTGGTTGAGGATCCCCTATTAAAATACACACCCAGATGTGTTCTGACTGCACGCGAATGTGTTGAATTCCGGAAGGAACCCTCATGCCGTTTGGGTAGATCTTCCCCTCGGCAATGATTGAGACCCTATACTGCTTTCAAAAACGTGATATATAATCTGCTACATTATTTTTTAAACCTCCCGACATGCATATCAGTAATATTTTTCGAGTATTTTCAAGTTGTGGAAATTCCAGGTATCAGAAGCCCGAAGAGAAGAACAGAATGGACATTGCGGCAGCAGCGGCAGAGACTGCGGACAGCAAGAAGCGGCGGAAGAGGCGTACTGTAGCAGTGACTGGGATGGATTCATCTCGTTGACGGGGTGAATGAATTGAAAGTGCATTCTTGAGGACCGTTTTTGCTCCCCTAGGACCACAGTACTGGCAGATCCAATCTGAGCATCACATCGTTCCGCTGCTATGTACTCCCCAATTTCACACCTTCAAGACAGCCTCGGGCGGAAACCGGAAACCCATGGGTTTCCTGAAAGCAATACTGTACCATTATATAATGTTATAACTTATTACAGTCAGTGTATTACAGTATATAAACATGTGTATATATATATGTATATACAATATATTAATCTATATTAATCTATTACAATCCCACGAGTCTATCCATTACTACGATAGGTTAGGCAAAACCCTCACTCAGATCGGTGACTCTGTCATGGATCACCTCAGTGGCTGAGGCAAAAGAGATGCCTCAGTTGGAGGAGCTGGCGCATGCCACAGAGGAGGGGATGGCTGGACTGAAGTGTTGTGGAAAAGATTCCAAACCAAATCTCCACAATGTCTTGGACATGGTTTTGCACTCTACTTTCTGCCTCTGCAAGTTGATTATGGTGTGACTGGTTGAAGATGTTCACTATCGGGGCCAAATCTCCAATGAAGAGGTGAACGGATGAATCAAACGTGGTCCCTTTGAAAGAACAATGACTGCAGTAATTCCTTCCACCTATTAATTGGGGTCGTGTTTCAATATGTTAAATAGGTACTTGGCATTCGTAGGCTTTTAGATATTATGGATGATCGCCCTGTCGCGATTGCAGGAGACCTTGGTCGATGTCTTGGGCTTCCCAGAGCCTTGGATGGATTTGTTATTTTTTGGACCAGACCAAATGTGCATGAACCTCGCTTGCTTGCGGACAGGTTTGGCTTTTGTATGCCTTTCTATCAAAGTGACGAAAGCGCATTTTTTGCTGTTTGGGCCAAACACGCCTCTGAAAGAATTGTCAAACAAGAGTAACAAGAGGTAGGTTTCTTGATAGATTGGCCACCGTACTTGTGCTCGCCAAACCCTTCCGGACCTCGCCAACCATGGCTGGTCTTCTTCGGCACATGGCGTGAGCGCAGCCCACGACACACACGCAGCCTTGGCGTGAGCGCGCCTGGCAGCCTGAGAGTGCCGAAACGACTCCCCCAGCCCAAGGAGCAGGAAGCCAAGCACTTCGCCATGCTCAACGAGGAGAGCAAGCAGAGACTTAACTCGAAGGGCTGCTGAACTGGACCGATGAAAAAAATAACCCTGTGGCTCTTGTCGGACTGTCAAGCTTAGAACATCTTAGAACCGAACCAAGGAAAACGCAGGTGTGGCACACCGATTTAGTTAGTAAAGTCAGGAAAGGATGGAAAGGTGGTTTCAGTGAGTTTATATACACATAAAGATGCCATCCACTTTTGAACCAATCCGGTGGTGTAATTGACAAAATTATATACACATCTGATCTGTATCAGTGATTAGAGAGTTGGGCGAGTGGGACGGTTTGAAAGGCATGATTTGGAGTTGCAGGTGGAACGTTACAGTCTCTGTCGTTTTCAACTGCTTTGGAACGAAGAGGAGCCGGTTGTAATCCCATGCGAGACAAATCTTGCTCAAGTGGAGTCTACAGCAAATGATACATGCAAAGTGGTTTCAACAATGTTTCAAATGCCTTTGTGCAGCCTTTTTGTTTTGAAACTCCACGCTTAGAGTAACATTTGCCGTCTGAGTCACTGAGGAGAGTCATCACCGAGTGTCGGGCCTTGATTGACATGTCCCCTCTCGAACGACAAGAAGCTTTCGAGAAGCTCCGGAAAGCCTGGCCGCGAGGACCGCTTCTGGCGGGAAAGAAGATGACAGGGAGCCAAGGAAAGGCGTACCACAAGAAAGGTGAAGATGGGGTGATGTAGATTCATGTCACGTTTTTTTAAATTAGGGAGGGTGTTTAAATTAGTAAGTTGTCTATCCATCTCGTGCCAGCAAATCAGACATTGAGACACCATCCACACATCAGGGGAAGCTGGGGTAACAATAAATCGCCTAGCAATAGAGGAGCTGGTAACTGGTGGCGTATTCTATGAGCTTTTGAGGTTGCCGTCAAGCCATCAAGCCAGTTGGAAGGTTCTGAAGTGACGTGTATGATCGTGTATGGACAGAATTCAGAATATCATCGAATATAGATCATATTATATAGAAGAATATAGAAGATTTGTTTCATCCAGGGTTTACACTGTACACATCAGCAGGTCACCTTAGTCCTTGAAGCAAAAAGCTGCTTGGAAGGACCTTTTCCCAGCTTCGCGAAGCCCTCCGAGAATCTTCCTCCAGTCAGCAACTTGATGCAGGGGTTCGATGCCTGAAAGCCACTTCGCGAGCTTTTGTGTCGTCACATTGGGAATCATTCTTTGGGAATGAACATCGAAGCGGTTGCCACTTGTTTTTGAATGCCTTGAAAGGCGGATGACTCTTACCGCTAGTTGTATGATGAGGTTGGGGGCCAGAACCAATTTCTCATTCCGCTGCAGGCAACAACTTGCTCCCACGCGGCACGTGCTTCCCTTTGAAGCGGCCCAGCATGAAGACACCCGCGGTGTCCCAGCCTTTGGCTTCAGCATTAGATGGGAAGCCCGGCTTTTTTGCACCACAGCCCTTGAAGAATGTGCCGGAACAGAAGACGCTGAGCGGCAATGCTGCATAGACCTTTCTCTCTGGGGCGGCAAACTGCTGTGACTGAAAAAGTAAACAAGCAAGCCCAAACAAGCACTGGCTCTAGCATGCTGCGGTGGCATTGAACTAAATTTGCAATTCCCAGCCTCCCAGCTTCAGTGTCATCCCCTTGATCTCCTGCCGTTGAGGAAAGCCCTGCAGAGCTTGGCGAAGGCAGTCACTCCAGACCCCTCACAGGAGGTGGCTTGCGACCCGTCCATTGCCTTGATGGATCTCTGTCGTCTTCCACAGGCCAAGGCAGACCCCGAGAAGATCTCCAAGACGGTCGCTTGGAGTGGAGGTAGACACCGCCGGACATAGCGGGGAAAACAATAAACACTGGACAACGAGATGAAACAGCCGGACGACGGACGGGCTTTTTGCGGGCAGAGACATGCAGAGACCGAAGAACACCCGAAAAAGAGCAGACCCCCTGTGCTGAAGGACGACATAGACTAAAACCATACTAAACATTCTATAACCATCCTGTGCGGTTGGATTCTGCTTGGCCGATCTCTGTCACTCTCTCTCTCTCTCTTTCTCTCTCCGTCCGAATCAGCACGTTCGCCGGTGCAAAATCTCTCTTGCGCCATCTTCGTCGTGCTGTGCAGGCTTGGGGGACGGCAGGCTTGGGACCACACCCAGACAAGTGGAGATAGTGGCTTCGCTCTGTAGATGACTAGGGGGATCGGAGTGGTCGCGAAAAGAAGACATGGGATTTTGCTGAGACTCGGCCCAGGTCATCACCAAGGGCAAGCTCAGCTCTGTGGACGTCGCCATCTATCTAGCAAGCGAGATGAAGACGCTTGTCTGGAGACGTTTTCGTCCTGCGGACGAAGGAAGTGTACACTTCTCTTTGTACTGTAATTACTACTTGTTTGGGACCGTTTGCGTTTCTGAACCACCATCACAGCAGGTCACCACTTTCTGCCTCTCAGCCATATCTTAAGCCACATCCCCACATGCCATCACATGCCGCAAGCTGTTAGCTTTCGTGTTCTGTCTTCGAGCAAGGACCCGCCCCATCCTGCTGGACAGTGGCCCGGGTGCAAAGTTGCGTTCGGCCAAGCTCAGCGAGGCCGACTTCCGCGGCGAGCGCGCCAAGGTGCTCCGGGACTCGGCGCCGCAGTGGCTTGGATGAGTGGAGGAAGAGGAATAACCGTGTAGGGACATGACATGTCACTGTCAAGACATGTTAAGACAATGAAGAACAGAACAACTTGCATGTGAAAGAAACATGTTGCTTGGAGTATGACACAATGTTTACTGGATGAGGGTGATATGAGAAGGGGGCAGACAAGGCAACCTGTTTTGCTGCTTGAACAGAAGACAATAGCCAGAGGATGTGATGGATTGCAGAACAACTGGCGGTCGAGATGAGATGGGCTCAGCATGGCTCATCCAGGTGCCCGATTTTGTTTGTTTGGCTAGGTGGTTGAACGTGTAGGGGATCATCCAAATGAAAGGATGTTCAAGACCGTGGATGCCACCATGCCATAGCCGGTGAAGACTCATGAAGACTCCTTTCCGACTCCACCCTCCCGGTGTTTTCGGCCGATTCCCGGGCGGACCTCGTCTCGGATTCGTCAGCGGAGTCGTTGGAACCGCGACGATTCAGGATGGGCAACCTGGACCTGCTGACCTTGTCCAAGCCCACTTTGGTCGCTGAAACACATAAGGAGAGCGCACGTGGCACAGCGGCCATGTCGGTCGGTGGAACATCGGTGATTGATGGCCAGTCCGTCGTTGATAGCAGGAATTCTGGTTTGAAACGCACCAGTCTGGTTGAGAAAACATGTGCAGTTGCCCTTGGCCTTTGCATGTTTGTTTGGTCGAAACCAGTCGTTTTGACATGTCGTGACAGCAACACTTCGGCTGTGTTTCAAGTGCGAGTAGATTCCTTCATTCATGTTGCAAGATTGCTGCATTGGTGTGACTTCCGGCCATGAAACCGCGACCCAATCTGACCCAATCTTTGTCCATCATGAAACTGGGCAATCAAAGGCAATCAGGCCCTGCAGTTGTTGATATAGTTGTTGGTTTCTTTCATTGTTGTTTCAGGTTCCATCCTTGACTTGGTGACTTTGCAAATATTTTACAGACCTCCCCCACCATGGACTGCATGCTTTTTCCTGCGCGGCGCGATTCGCAGAGTTCGGTGCTGAAGAGGACTACTTGAAAGCGGGCGTTGACATTTGCTGCACCAACACCCTCAAAGCGAATGCTTTAGCTCAGAAAGAGTGTCTAGGCGGCAAACAGAGCTGAGCACCGAGTATGCCACTTCATCAATTATAGTTATACAAAACATACTTTTGATTGCCTTTTTTTGGGTTCCAGGCTATACCAGGCTGCCTTTCCATACACTTTTGATCGGGGCGCAGCTCTGTCCATCACGCAGGTACAAGACAGCCAAGCTCGTATCTGAGATGAACAAGTCAGCCGCTTTGCAACCTGGCAAGAAGTGACCTTCACAGGAAGTCTTCAATGGTTTCTTTTGACCATTCAAAGTGACGCATTTCAAACATTGCCCAAGTAGTTGAAACTAGAAGACATAGTTCATTCTTTTAGGCTCTAGTCCAGCACAGCTGGAGCTTTCAGCTTGGTACCAAGAGGAACTTCGCACCCCTTCGCCTTGGCTTGTTTGTCTCCTGTGACTCCCTGAGCAAACAAACTAGAGTGAATGGACCCAAGCAAATCGAGATGCGATCCAAACCATCATGAACCATCGAGATGCCATGTCTCTCATGGCTCCTGGCCCGCCCACTCTCGAGGGTTCAATCTTGGCCTGAGGTTGGCCAAGCGTGCTGCCTCAGAGGTAACCAAACTGGATATCAAGAAGCCACGCTTGGTGGCTGGTTTGGTTGGGTCACTTGGTGCTCACAAGTGGCGAAGTTGACGAAGTGCTCACAATGGTTTGGTTTGGTTTGGAAGTGGATTTGGCTCCACTGTACAGACTAGATGGCGTGTTTGGCTTATTTCGGCTTGTTTGTCTAGAAGACCTTTGCGTCTACAAGGTAGGGTGAGAGTTGCCGCGGCCCCCAAGTGTCTTTGGGTGTGAAGAGGCATTTCACACTTTCTCTCGCGTTCACAAGACCGATGTGCGTTTCGCCAAGACCGTGTGAAGCTCGCACGAACTTCGATGACATGGTCGATGCTTACAGTGAGCAGATCAAGGGCTTGGCCGAAGGAGGAGTCAAAGGGTTGAGATGAGAATTTGGTCTATCAGGGGGTTTTGTATGGTTGTGTCATTATACGTCGTTGATAATGATGTAGCCTTGGGGAAAAAGGATTGCAATCTGCTCACACAACATTCATGATATCAGAAATCACGTGACGATGCTGCTCTTGTGTTCATTTCAACGGGTCCAGATGACTCTGCATTTGCCATGACTGTGCATACAGTACAGCTTTTGCTCAGGAGTTGATTTGCTGGCACTTGAAATGTACGATGCGCGAAGTGCTAAAGCTGCCATCTATGCGAGTGGAGAAGTTTACAAGCAATTGAAGCAACGAGTTCCACCATGTATCATCCACGTCCCTTGGATTGTTCTTCAGGCCTCGTTTGTTTCAGAAACGTCCTCGGTTTCTGGTGACAGAAGATGACGGCGACATGCTTGCAAAGACGAAAAGGGTACCCTCTGACTCACTAACATGGAAGTGGAAAATGGGCCCTTGGAAGACTACTTTCCTCTACCAACAAGGGGTTTTCCACTTCCATATTAGTGAGTCAGAGTGTACATCGTTGTGTTGCAGCTCAAGTGCTGGCAGGTGGTTAAACCATTTCAATAAGAAAGAGACTCAAGTCCATGGTAAATGGTTTAATTGATGTTTATTGATGTTTGTTGTGTGTATTGCTTTCATGCTGGATAAACACTTCCATCATTGAGTGCACACACACAAACACAAACACAAACACAGTGCGTTATATGACGAAGTTCCAACGAGCCATAGAACCGAAACCATTGACCGTTCACTCTACATCTTGGATCAGTTTAGCCATGTTAATTCCTTCACTGGTCGCCATACGTCGAGGTTCACGTCGACCCGAAAACGGGTCGCACCTTGGGTGGTCAGAGCGCCCATGCCTTCTATGTGAGCGTCAAACACTGTCGTCCGTTGGCGGTGGGCATCGTGGGTGGTGCAGCCTATGGGGACCTGGCCAAAGCGGGCAGCTTCATTGGGATGAAGTCAGGCTGTGCTTCGCGGGACAGTCCGTGGGTCTTTTGATGGTCTTGGTGTTATTTTTGAAGCACTGTCTCAGGGGATAGACCTGTTGGTAGATGCTGAATCATGTCCAGGTCTACTTAAGTCTACTTGAGGTTGTGTTTGGTGGTTCCTAGTTTTTTGAAGAGTTTCTATGAGTTTCTCGTTTTGTGCATAATTACTTCACAGACTTGGCTTTTCTTCGCATAGACTGGGCCGCTATAAACTCGGTCGATGTCGGCGCCGCGGTGCCTTCTGTGCCAACTCGGAGGCGAAGCTGAGCTCAAGGGGCTGAAGGAGACACAGAGGGGCCTTGTGGTAGACCGAGTGGGTCGCGTAGACCGAGAAACACCTTCACTTTGAGGTAGTTGTTCTATAGATACTACAGTCTTTCCTTTTTGTATTCCTTATGTATTTTGACCATAAAGTGGCTCAAGAGCATATGGACGCCAGGCAACCCACTCTTTGGTGGGTTTTCAGAGGCTGCACCTGTTTGCGATGGGAACGTTTGTCTGGAACCCACATACTGCGTTCCATGTTCTGCCTGCGTTCCATGTTTTCCCTCACCCTGGATCTGCCCCTTCTTCTCCCACTTCCTTTTCGGCACACCCCGTGTTCCGGGTGACCGGGTGGAACAACCCACCCGGACCAGTAAGCGGAACGCCGAGCTTCACAGCACACCGAGCGGGCGGAACCAGGAGCTGCCGAACTTCGTGGGCCTCACCGAGGGGTTGCCCCAAGCCTTCTCAACCTTGGCGGCCCTGAAAGGGCCCACGCGGAGCCTTCCTGAGGTGGGGCCGGCAACGGGTTTTCTGAGGATGGAACGAAAGGGAGGGGACGAAAAGGAAGAGAAGAGACCTGGAGAGTTGTGTGGACGCTGCCGATTTGCTGGCTTTTCGAGTTGGTATGGTTGCTACGCTCAAAAACTGGTAACTGAAGCCGTGAGCGGTATGGTTGCTATGCTCAAAAACTGGTAACTGGAGCCGTGAGCTAGAGGCCTAGAGGCCATAGCTGCCATAGCTTTAGCAACGGGCATTCACCTTGCATGACCAGATCAAGAATTCATCCACCTGCCACCCACCACGGTTTGGTGTTTGAACGCACCGGGCTGGTCTGCCCATGTTCGTTTCTGACGACCTGGTCTCGATTTGTCACGCTGGTTCCGAAGGTCAGCACAAAGCTGATGGTTTCCGGGCTGGAGAGCCACACCGTGGACAGCTTCACGCTGGTCGGACAGCGTGGAAGCACACGGGCCTATGGAGTGCTGGCTGAAGAAAGGTGGGGACAACGGATCTGAAGGATTTGAAGGAGCTGGGACTCAAGGAACCTGTCAATCCGATTCAATCCCAACCTGAAGTACTTTTGCAGGACTCTTCTAGATGGGAAGGAAGGGAAGGATACTGTATATAGATTTGCTCTCAACCAAGATGATAATCTCGCAGCTCATGGCTGCATCTTATGCACAGCTGAGCCTGTCAACGGAGGATCCCCCAAAGCAACGTGAATCGTTTTGACTTTTGTCAAAGTCATGAGTCATGATTGACAAACATTGACAGTACTAAGACGAAGCCACCTGAGTATGTTTTGACAGAAGCAACTTGCGGGCTTCAAGGTGGAGCATGTGCAGTCACCAACAATCCTCTATCACAGATTGTGTTGTCGAAATGCAACGAGTTTGCATATTACACAATTACATTATAGTACAAACAAATACACGTATCTACCAGTTTCCATGTTGATTTGTTGTTCTCCAAGGAAAGTTCAAGGAGCTCATGGACGATTTCAAGTCCAACGGACGCCATTGTTCCTTGCCACTCGGCAGCCCTCGTCGCTGTCTCTTCGCGTCGACGGACGGGAACGGCGCGGAACGGAGCTCGGCGGAACGGTGCTCGTTCGCGGACGCCCGAGGTCCAAGGCAGTGGACCTGTGCGCTTTGGACTGTGAGAGCGGTGCGGACATCCTGGACACTCAGCAGCACGTGGTCAGAGAAAGGTGAGGCCCATGGTGATCATGGTGATCATTGTCGATCATATTGATCAAGCATGTGTCGGCCAAAAAGTACAGTAGCGATGGAACCCCAGCCTTGTCCTACCAACTAGGGCAATATGATGTACCAAGTGACTTATGTGTCTCAGAAGAACACAGCAGAGCATTGAGACAAACCTTGCTTGCAGTTTCATGCAGATAACGCGGCAGTAATGTTAACATGCAATTAAAACACTTGCTGTATTCAAGCAGCATTGGACTTGGAAGAAATCATGTGAATGTATAATGTATCCTGTGCATGATCCAGAGTTCTACCAAAGGGCTGCTTTAGTACTACAGGACATTTGCGTGGATGGTATTGCAAATGATGGCAGCAATCGTGGCAGCAAGACCCTCATGAACAAGTTCACGACTCTTTGCGATTCAGATGCCAGAGTGGCAAAAGCCCCCTTTATGCTTTGCTCTTCGGATATGAAGGTTGTCAAGGAAGGCGCATCGGGGCCAATCTGATTGAAACATGTTCATCACGGGACTGAATCAAACTTAGGACACCTTGGGTTCCCCTTGTGACTTTTAAGATCTTTTAAGTATAACAGAGCAACACACACACAATCAGAAGAGGTTGTTACCTCATTTTTTGTAGTCTCAACAAACAAGTGCTCAAATCAGTGCAGTCTGGTGATCAAGAACCTTTGCATGCCTTTGATGTGACCCATGTTTGTGCCGTTCACGAGAGGTTTGGGCAATCTTCAGGGCCGGTGCATTGTCAACGCCCTTTGCTTGATGGTTGGCGAAGACGAGTTCCTCCAACTGGCAAAGGAGTGTCTTCAGTCGCTTTCGCTTTCGGAGTTTCTCAGAAGTGTAGTGTAGTGGGGTTAACACCAGGATTTGAGAAAAGATTCCAAGATGTGCGTCTTTGATTTGAGGAGGTAATGAAGTATGGTGCAGCCCTGGTGGTCATGGCCATTGGAGAGCAAGGCCGTGCAGTGACAGCCAAGGACAAGGCACCGTGGCGGGCTGTGGCTGGTGTTCCTCCTGTAAACTGAACGCATGTGAACAAATTCACGGCGGGCGCACTTGCGGTTCCTTGGTTGCTCACGCGTTTCATTTGTTTGATCAGATGAGCTACTCATGACACACCCTGAACTCCCATATTCAACAAGGGTTCGTCATGCGCTCCGACCAGTGCTCCAGACTGAACCGTTGCCCGGGCAGGTAGAGGTGCTCCAGCGAAGCTACCGGCTATTGCGACAGAAGCTGGACTTTCCTCCAGAGGACATCATCTTGGATTGTCATTTGCAGACACTGCGGCATGATGAGCATCCATCTGAGGTTCCTTGTCGAAGACCTCAAAACTGTGAGCTATGATTCAAGATGTGGGTGAAAAACAACAGAATGTCTCCTGTTCCTACGAACAGGCACAAGTTGAACGTCCGCCACCCATCTGATCCGGAATGTCCTCTTCATGTCATTTTGGCAGTCTCCAAGAGATTACCCCATATCAATGTGCATGCTACGTAACTCCACACCAAACGAATCTCAGCTTCCGTTCACAATCGTCCTTTCTGATCCTTTCTGCAATTGGATGCCAACGTTGCATCCGTATGCCGTTCTTTGTTTTTGGAGCCGGTGATGCACATGGAGCCGGTGATTTCCCCATGTTCGGACACCGGGTGGACGGCCCAACCAGGTCATGTCCGCCATCTCCGAGCTCAAGCGTAGCTGCCCTCGCGCCAGCTTGACGGTGGGTCTCAGCATCCTGGTTGAAATTTGATTGATTCTGGAAAAAGATGCTCTTGTTTCTTTTGCGAAAAGTCTCAAACATGCAGGCCCAAGCAGTTGTGGTTTGCTGTTTTTGTACATGTTTTGGTGCAACACAGAATGGCTGTTTGTTGCTGCAGCATTTTGAAGATCCGAAAACATCTCCAATACCATCCAATACCTCTGTCTCGGTATGCGAATTCATTTGTTCATCCAAATCCCTTTGCATGCCTCAGATTGGAACTCCAGGCAACCTCAGCGCAGCCTTTGGACGCCTTGGAAAGCTTCGAGAAGCCTTGCACAGCACCTTCTTGCAACATGCCATTCCCAAGGGCTCCTTGGCACGCCAGCAGTGTGGTGGTTGATGTGTTCTTGCCTTTAGACCAAGAGGTCAGCAAGCCACGGCCAAGCCATGGTGGTTGACCACACGGTCCGCACGACGTCGCCAAAAAAACGGCTGAGAAATGGGGATCACTTGCTCGTCGCTATATCCAATGCATCAACAGCTGTGACAGGAGATACGCCTGGATTTACTTGGATTCCTCCCCACTGTTCGCTTGCTTTCTCAGGTCTCAACATGGCCTTGGCTCCTGCTGGCCGTCTTCCTTTGTATGCGGAGCTGGAGCAAGAGACCAGGCAGGTCTGTGAAGATGTGATCCTGAACAGCAAAAAGGATGAGACGCCGCTGAAGCGCTTCATGGCCTTCCTGAACTTCCGCAGCTCGGACGGGACGGTGCCGGATGGGGCACTCGGCCGCCGGAAAACCGTTCGCGGAACCGGCCGGAACAGCGAAGCACCGGGGTGTCGAGCGAAGCACCGGGTGGGGTGAGTCATTTCCCAGACACGACACATGGGACTGCCATATATGCCTACATTATTCTACATTGGGGTGGTTGACTGGGGGTCAATGGGGCGGCATATATGACAGTCCCATGGAGTGTCTGGGTTTCAGAAAAGGGATTGACTTTCGGAGAGCCGGGATGATGTCTATCCGGGGACTGAGCTTGACCATCACAGCCCGGCGGTTTGATGGTCCTGCGGCGACGAACGGAGCGGCGGCCAAGAACCGGACAAATCGGTTTTGATTTGACCCAAAGCAAAGCTGGGCATGTATTTTAAGAGGAGACCTCCCCCACATCGATGGTGGATACTTCCTTTACCATTGGTCTTGTTTGGTCTCTGTTTCCACCTGCTGTCCAATGATGTCAATTAGGGTTCCTAATTGATCAAATGCCAGTGCCCACTGCAGTTGGTCAACCATGGAATGCAGCATTGAGCTTAACAAGTTGTCTAAGCTGATCAACTATTTGCAAGACTAAGCTAATAATGTATTCAGTATGACATTAACTCATATTTACTCGACATACTTGAACAAGTGTTTGTCATCGCAAGACCAGTGAACTTCTAGTTTTTGCAGACACCTGAAGACCATCGCGGTACCGGCATGGCTGGATTTGGACATTTGTCCAGCAAACCTTGGTGAGGCTCCGGTGCCACCGTTTGCCTGCCGCTTCAAGCCGCTGAAAGCGCGGATGACGGAGCCTGGTGGACACTGCCCGAGTGCTGCTGGGTTGGAGTTTAGCATCAAAGTTGTGTGTTCTAGTGGTGGCGAAAGCACACAATTCCAACCTAGCTCACTGGTCGTGATGAATTGTGATGATTTTATCCTTAGTCTAAGGGACGTCAAACTGGGACTGATGCCTGAGGCAAAGCCGCTGGAAAGGAAGCTCAACAGCAGTATTTGGAGAAGCGTGGTCCAAAGCCACCAGCAGCACAGCAGAAAGCCTACTGGCAAGCTTCCTGGCCAGTCGTTAAGGAGAGTTTGTAACAGCCTAAGGTGAAAGGCTTCGGACTGACTGAGTTCTTTTGGGGTAGACGGGTTCAGCCTTTGAAGCATTACTTGTAAGCCCTTCCACAAGCGATTTTCGCTGCCACTCTCGGGGATTTTCGCCAGAGCAGCACTCTAGCAAATGGCAACAGATGGACAGAGTCGGCAGAGTTGTTGGATCAAATACCGGTTGGATTGTGTTGGCTGCAATCAATCAAAGAGCTCGTATATATATATATATATATCATATATCATATCGTCGCTGAGGCTTTGAAGCCAGCCTTTGCCAACACATCCAAAGAGCTGCTGCCGGATGCTGGTTGCGAACGTCCCAACCCCGCCCGTGTGCCGGCCAGTGGTGGCAGTGGTGCATTGCAACAACAGGTGAGCACGGCACTGGCGAGTGGCACCAAAGTGACCTTTAACAATTTGCTGGCATATCTGAATACGACTTTGGGTCTCTTGGAGTTTCAGAGTTGTCCAGTTGTCCTGTTTCCGATTTTCTTGAGACGATGTGGATTCTCCGGATTCGACAAACCCCAAGCAAAACTTTGACGGTTCAGTAGCTGGTCTGACTAGAGCACCAAGCTGACCAGCTCCCGCGAAGATGAACCAATTGAATAGACCCACCAAACTGTGTTGGTTTCCTTTTCGTCAAAGATGCCCGCTTTTCTTGGGCCTAATGCTCGGGCACAACCCAAAACGGGCAAGATATGGCAAGATGACAAAGTCTCCAAGGCAAGAAGTTGCTGGTCACCGATGGGCCCAATGGGCCGCAGGACCAGCTCAGCGGTCAGGACGAGGCCGCCTTCCGTGGGCCCAATCAACGCTTCCCAGCACAGGCGAGGAGACGGTGAGACGGGTGCCGGACAGGGACTTGTGGTGGGAACGATATTAGAAACCATATTGGGAAATCATTAAACACCATATTGTGAAGCCACATTTCAGAAGATGTGTTCCCCACATTGGTTCCCTCTTTTCTTTCTCTTGGAGGACCTACTGTACTATCCGGGTGAGTCTCTGAGGGGGGGAATCCAACGGTCTCAGACAATAAGGTACCACAGCGGTAGAGACAATGCCAAACACGAGATACCACAATTCTAGTAGTATATACCAAAAGGAAATTCTCCTGTAGTTTAAAATTTTGGAAGCTGGATTTGCAGGACCGAACCAATGCATGCAAAGAGTTGCTTGTGGTATTATGCTCTAGACTCTAGACGTTGATAAACAGATTGATTGGGCTGGACCCTTGTGATTGACCTGCTCACTACAAGTCTTATGTTCTATTGGAACCATTGGAACCTTGGAGACTTACAGCTTCTGCATGAAGGCACAGGTGAATAGTTGCCCTCAGGCCAAAAACAATTTGGACTTGCTGTCCATCACCAAGCCGGATCTTGTGCTGAAACTTCGGCTGCACGACCACACACGGCCAACAGCGCACATTTATTTCACACTGAATCGCTATCAATCTTTCACCATATTTTCCAGCTCAAGAACTGCTCTTTTTCATGTGGCGAACACCGCTGAACTAACTACCTTGAGGTATCCA